TTTAGTCCATTTACATTTAGGGTTAATATTGTTATGTGTGAATTTGATACTGCCATTTTGATTCTAAGTGGCTGTTTTGCCTGTTAGTTGTTGTAGATTCTTCATTATGTTGAAGCTCTTTAGCATTCAGTGTGATTTTGGAATGGCTGGTACTGATTGATCCTTTCTATGTGTAGTGCCTCTTTTAGGAGCTCTTGTAAAGCAGGCCTGGTGGTGACAAAATCTCTGAGTACTTGCTTGTTCGCAAAGGATTTTATTCTTCCTTCACTTCTGAAGCTCAGTTTGGCTGGATATGAAATTCTGGGTTGAAAGTTCTTTTCTTTAAGAATGTTGAATATTGGCCCCCACTCTCTTCTGGCTTGTAGTGTTTCTGCCGAGAGATCTGCTGTGAGTCTGATGGGCTTCCCTTTGTTGGTGACCCGACCTTTCTCTCTGGCTGCCCTTAGTATTCTCTCCTTTATTTCAACCCTGTTGAATCTGACGATTATGTGCCTTGGGGTTGCTCTTCTTGCGGAATATCTTTGTGGTGTTCTCTGTATTTCCTGCAATTGAGTGTTGGCTTGTCTTGCTAGGTGGGGAAATTTTCCTGGATGATGTCCTGAAGAGTATTTTCCAGCTGGGATTCATTCTCTTCGTCCCCTTCTGGTACACCTATCAAACGTAGGTTAGGTCTTTTCACATAGTCCCACATTTCTTGGAGACTTTGTTCATTCCTTTTTGCGCTTTTTTCTCTGATCTTGGTTTCTCGTTTTATTTCATTGAGTTGGTCTTCGACTTCAGATATTCTTTCTTCTGCTTGGTCAATTCGGCTATTGAAACTTGCGTTTGCTTCGCGAAGTTCTCGTATTGTGTTTTTCAGCTCCTTTAATTCATTCATATTCCTCTCTAAGGTATCCATTCTTGTTATCATTTCCTCGAATCTTTTTTCAAGGTTCTTAGTTTCTTTGCATTGATTTAATACATGATCTTTTAGCTCACAAAAGTTTCTCATTATCCATCTTCTGAAGTCTAATTCCATCATTTCATCACAGTCATTCTTCGTCCAGCTTTGTTCCCTTGCTGGTGAGGAGTTTTGGTCCTTTCTAGGAGGCGAGGTGTTCTGGTTTCGGGTGTTTTCCTCCTTTTTGCGCTGGTTTCTTCCCATCTTTGTGGATTTGTCCGCTGGTCGTCTGCGTAGTTGCTGACTTTTCGTTTGGGTCTCTGAGTGGACACCCAGAATGTTGATGATGAAGTATTTCTGTTGCTTGGTGTTCCTTCTACCAGTCTAGCCCCTTCGCTGTATGACTGTTGAGGTCCGCTCCAGACCCTGCTTATCTGGGGTGCACCTCTAGTAGCCGTGGCACAGCGAGGGATGCTACCAGTTTCTTTTTCTGCTCTCTTTGTCCCAGGATGATGCCTGCCTAATGACAGTCTTTTGGATATAGAGGGGTCAGGGAGCTGCTTGAGGAGACAGTTTGTACTTTATAGGGGTTTAATTGCTGAGATGTGCACTCTGTTGTTCATTCAGGGCTGTTAGGCTGCTATGTTTGATTCTGCTGCAACACAGCTCATTAAACAACCCTTTTTTTTTTCTCAAATGCTCTGTGTTGAGGGGTTTGGGCTTTATTTTTGGATGTCCGATCAGGTGTCCTGCCCAGCTCAAAGGCAGACTAGCCACTGTTTGGCTGCCGAGGCTCCGCCCTGCTGTTGTGTGATTCGCGCTGTTCCTGCGGCTCTGCTGTGGTCTCCGCCACGCCCTGCGGCGGAGTCTCTTCGTTGTAGCGTGTTGCCTCAGCAACGGCTGGCTGCGTCAGCAGTGGGCGTGTATCTCAGTAGGGACGGGTTGCCTCGGCAACGGCTGGCTGCGTCAGCAGTGGGCGTGTATCTCAGTTGGGGCGGGTTGCCTCGGCAACGGCTGGCTGCCTCAGCAGTGGGCGTGTATATCAGTTGGGGCAGGTTGCCTCCGTAGTGGTGGACGCCCCTCCCCCACAGAGCGTCTCGGACCATCTGCCCGGGATAGTTTGAAATCGCGGTTTTGTTCGTCCCACTGGGTATCCCAAACGATCTGTCCCTGCAATCCCCTGGGCTGGGCTACTGTGCAAGTCTCGTTCAGTCTCAAGTCCAGCCCTCTCAAGTCTCAGGTTGCCGGTTCAACAAGGCACCCGGACAAGCGCGCCCTGTGGGGATTGCTGGGTAGGGCCGGCCGCCGCCGCCCCGGCTGCCGGCTTCACCAGGCAGACCTACTGCCTGGCGTCCCGTGTCTTTTTATACTTGGGAGTTTCCCCATTCTGTGGGCAACAAAGATCAGTCTGGAAATGCAGCACTGACTCACCGTTTGCGAATTCAACACGGGCTCCAATCCTGGGTTGTTCTCACAGCGCCATCTTGAGTCCCCTCCCCAGTATTACATTTCTTATGAAATTTTAGATTTGAATTGGTACAGAGACAACTCTAGAACAATGTTCTTCAAGAGAAGAGCAAAAGTCTTGCCATTCCTCACTAAGCCCCTAGATACTTCCAAGGCTCCTTTACAACCTCCTTAGGATTGGCCCAGGAGAAGATAGAAGATTTGAAAACATGATCCTTGACACTGAGCTCTCCATTCCCTCCTGCAGTCTGCAATCCACTTCAATAATCTCCTAGATCCAAAAGGGGTAGCCTTGTCTTTTACATCCTTCAGTTAATAACCTTCTTCCTGAATTTCACTTCATGGCTGACAGTGAACAGTGACATGAACAGATTTCATGGCTGAGAGATTTCACAATTAGGTTTTCCTTGTCTGTGCCTTAATAATCCTAAATGAAGGTTAAAGGAATTTAGAAAATTCTTTCTTCTCTAACTTTACGTTTCAAAATTTTACTGTAAAAAATCCCACATGGAACCTCAAAATGTTGTTACTCTTTCTTTCTTCAGTCTTTCCTCGTTCTCTGTGAAACCATCTTTGTCCAATAGGCAGATGTGCATCTCTTCGATTCAGAAGGCAGGAAAAAAATGCTGATTATTATTTCCAAGATATTGCCCTTGTTACAAAACAATTTCATTTGATGTGTCATTGGACTATTTTAGAGAAGATACTAAGATAAAAATATGAAAACAAAGCTCTAAGGAGATATCCAGATAAAAATAGGAAAAAAAAAAAAAACTTGAAGAAGATAACAAAATGAAAATAGAAAAATAAAGTCCTGAGATCTCGGCTAGAAATATAAACTGAGGAATTATTTAAATGGAAATGAAGATTTGGTCCAGAGGTTGACTGTTACTGTCCAGAGACTGTAGACAATGAAAGGGAGGGAGTTAAGAGGTGCTAGAAGAGATCTTGGAAAGATGTCTGAATTAGAGATTTGATAGAAAGAGAACAGACAATGAAAATCACTCATAGTCCCAGATATTAGGAGAATGCTGCAAAAATAAAATGTCTCAGAAACTGTGTTACGCAATTTTTAAAATGAAAGTTGACTTCTGGTTCCAGAGAAGAGGCAGTAAACCTATTCCTCCCTAAATCCCCACCTTACAATTGAAATTCATTAGAAATACTGTAACAAATATAGGCAATCTCTGAAAGTCAGAAAGAAGACAATGGCTAAGGACTACAGTCAGGAGTTGAGGAATGACAGGGTGGGGTGTTCCCATAAACTGGATTTCATCGAAACTGAAAACTTCTCCTCAATGAAACATGTTAAGAGAATGAAAGAGCAAGTTACAATCTGGGAGAAAATATTTGCAAACCACATATCCAACAACATATGACAATGTATGAAAAACTCTCAAAACTCAATAGTGAAGTGGCAAAAATCCAATTTGAAAATAAGCCAAACAAACCCCCCATAAACACACACACAAAAACAAAAACCACACACACAGATAATTCACTGAAATGGGGATACAGATAGCAAACAAGCACTTGGAAAAAACATTGACATCATTTGCTATTAGGGAAATGAAAATTAAAGCCACCTTAAGATATCACTATATACCTATTAGTAGCTAAAATGTTTTTTGGTAGCAATGTGAAATAGTATAAGCACTCTGGAAAATAGTTTAGTCATTTTTTATGAAATCAAATGTGCTCTTGCCATACTAAATAGGATTCACACTCTTCAGCATTTATGCTAAGAAATTAAACTCATGTTCACACAAACAAATAAACACATATAGCATTTTAATCTGTAATAGCAAAAAAAAAATAACCGGTAACAAACAAAATGTCCTTCATTGGGTGAAGGGCAATCAAAATTTAAAACTACCACACAATGAAATATTACTTATCTGTATAAAGGAATAAAGTGTCCCTACATGAAACAATCCAGACAAATCTTAAGGTCATTTTGGTTAGTGAAAACGAGTCAATTTCCAAAAGTAATCATCATTTTGGACACATAATAAGCATTCAATAAATGTAAATTTTTACTTTATTAAGTAACTGGGAAGCTAGTTTGTAATGCAGAAAACATCCACTGTAAAATGCTTAGAGTAGAAGTCACATTTTATCAAGAAGGAAGAGTAAGAAGAAAATGAAAGCAAATTTAAATGGGTGTTTCTTTGCCATAATAGAAAAAGAACAGAGCAGTAGCTTGAATGTTGAGGGGCGGGTAACTTGTTTGTTTAGGACAGAGAAGAGCAGACAGGATTTTGAAGAAGAGACAATTAAAACCTAAGTTAAAAGAAAAAAGAATATTTCATAAAAGAAATATCTTAAAGGTTAAGCCCCCAAATAAACCATCTACTAATGTATTACAAGATTGATGATACATTTTAAAAAGAAAATATAAGATAATCCTATTTATATATAATTCTCAAATGACAAAATTGTAGAGATGAAGAGCAGTCTAGAAGTTAGCAGAGGACAGGAACAGAAATGGGTGAGGGTGTCAACTATAAAGCACAAGGAAGTTCTCTTGTGATGGATTGCAGTGGTGGCTACACAAACCTCCATGTGGGAGAAAATTTCATATAAACACAGAAAAACAAATGAATGCATGTAGTAACCTGTAAAAACTCAGCAAGGTTTGTAGTCTACTTACCAATAGATTACTACTTTCAGTGTCCCAGTTTTGATATTGCAGTACGTTTATACAAGATGTTGCCAATGGAGGAACCTGGATAAAACATACAGAGGACTTCACGTGCACTATTTTTGCAACTTTCTCTAGAGCCCATGCTTATTTCAAATTCAAAAGAAAAAAAATTTAAATGAAGGATTGCTTAACTCTATTGGAATTAGCAGAGAGATTAAAGAGGATGACAATAATAATTGTATTAGATTGAACACTGCCAGAAAATAGGCACTGTGCAGAGCAATTACGGCAGCAAGATTTTAATTCTGATTCAGCCACTCATTAGGTGTGTGAACATGGGTGAGTTACTTAACTTCTCTGTGACTCAGTCATTTCAAAGGCAAAATAAAGTTAATAAGAGCACGTAATCATAAGGTTTTTGTAAGGATCTAAATAAGATAATTTATATAAAATATCATTTGAGACACACACTAAGCATTCAGTAAATGTAAATTCCTACTTTATTAAGTAACTGGGATGCCATTTTGTGATGGAGAAAATATCTACTGCAAAATGCTTAAGAGTAGAAGCCACATTTTGCCAAGAAGGAAGAGTAAGAAGAAGAACATGAAAGCAAATTTAAGTGGGTGTTTCTTTGCCATAAAAGAAAAAGAAATAGCAGTAGCTTGAAAATTGAGGGGAGGGTAACATGTTTGTTTAAGATAGAGAAGAGCAGATGGGATTTTGAAGAAGAGGAGACAATGAAAACCTAAGTTAAAAGTAAAAAAAGGATATTTCATAAAAGAAATATCCCAAAGGTTAAAACCCCCAAATAAGCCATCTATTAATGTATTACAACTAGACTGATGATAAATTTTAAAAAGGAAATATAAGAGAATCCTTAACCAGCAACTATTTACTGATATGGGGATTTCCCAAGTAGAAAAGACAGAAACAGAAAGGATCCCCTGAAGATTGGCTTTCAGTGACACATTGCAATCAAACACCCTGAAAACAATTTTGGCTTGAAATGCAATTTTTAAAAATGGAATTTATCCTTTTAAATGAAGACTTTGGACTAAACTAACACCCTACAGGAAGAATTTCTGACAAAAATTGACTCGTGTATCTGCATAAAGTTAACTTTACAACTACTAGCAAGGCACTACATGTGTGATAACAGTGAAAAAAGTGAAAAAAAAGTAAAAAAATAGTGAATAATTTTCCTCATAAATTTACACTAGATTATATGGAACAATATAGATTTGGTTTTTTTTTTTTGCCATCAATGCCGCTTCTTGAAGTTTTTATGATATTATTGTATCATAATGATATGTTCTGAGAGGAGAACAAACTAGGGTCCGACACATTATTTTGTTTTATCTTTGAGAAAAATAAAATCTCAAGCTTTAGTTATGGAAAGATGTCATTATTTTTATGTAAACACACACACACCCTTATTAATTATCCCCACAAAAGTAGATGGACATCACAATTAAATGTTGTTGCATACAACCTTTGAAAAGCTTCCTACATCCCAATATGAAAGTAGGAGAAACAGTAGAAAACAATTCAATCAAAAGCATAAATCGTATCAAGTATGTTTTCAGATTCCAATATAATAAAACAAGAAATGAATATCAAGAGGAATTTTGGAAAATATACTAACACATGGAAATCAAACAATGTGCTCTTGAATAAGCAATGGGTCAATGAAGAAATAAAAAAGAACATTTTAAAATATTCTTGAAACAAATGAAAAATGGAAATACAACTTATGGAATCTATGGGATACAGTAAGAGCAGTGCTAAGAGGAAAGTTTATAGCAATGAACACCTACATCAAAAAAGCAAAAAAACTTCAAATACACAACTTAATAATGAATCTCAAAGAACTAGAAAATCAAGAACAAACCAAACCCCAAACTAGTAGAAGGAGAAAAAGTAATAAAGTTTAGAGCAGAAATAAAGAAAACTGACACTGAAAAAACATAAAATATTAACAAAATGAAAAATCATTTTTCTGAAAGAATAAATAAAATTAACTAACTACACTAACACAAGAAGAGAGAGGACGCAAATAAATAAAATCAGAAATAAAAAAGGAGACAAACCAACTTAGACCACAGAAATACAAATAATCATTAGAAACTATTATGAACAACTGCATTCCAACAAATCAGAAAACCCAGCAGAAATGCGTAAGTTCCTGGACATATAATACCTACCAAGATTGAATCATGAAAGATAGAAAACATTAACAAGCCAATAATGAGTAATGAAACTGAGGCTATAATAAAAAGTCTTTTCCTCAGAGAAAAGCCCAGAATCTGATATCTTTATTGCTGAGTTTGCTAAACATTTAAAAAAGAACTAACACCAATCCTAACAAAACTCTTCAAAAAAAAATTGAAGAGGAGGGAATACTTCTAAACTTAGACCAGCCTGGTCAACATGTTGAAACCCCATCTGTACTAAAAATACAAAAGACTAGCTAGGCCTGGTGCATGCCAGCTTCTCAGATGGCTGAGACAAGATATTGGCTTGAACCTGGGAGGTGGAGGTTGCGTTGATTTTGGCATCTACATTTATCAATGATATTGGCCTGTAGTTTTCTTTTTAGTTATGTCTGTGTCTGGTTTTGATATCAAGGTAATGTTGACCTTGTAAAATAAGTAATTATTACTAACATTGCCTGGGCAACAAGGGTGAGACTTCCTCACAAAAGAAAGGAAAGAAAGAAAGAAAGAAAAAGAAAGAAAGAAAGAAAGAAAGAAAGAAAGAAAGAAAGAAAGAAAGAAAGAAAGAAAGAGAAAAAAGAAATCAAGTAAGTAATTTTATTTACAAGAGCTACAAATAATATAAAACCCCTAGAAACTGATTTAAAAAATTGAAAGATCTATACAAAGGGAACTGTAAAACACTGATGAAAGAAATTGAAGAAGAAACACAAAAAATTGGAAAGATATTCCATGTTTGTGGATTGAAGGAATTAATATTGTTAAAAGGACAATTCCATTCAAAGCAATTTATAGATTTGATGCAATTCCTATCAAAAAACCAATATCATGATTCACAAAAATAGAAAAACATTCTAAAATTTATATGGAACCTCAGAAGACTTATAGTCTTATAACTTGAGACTTATAGATATCAACCCTGAGCAAAAAGAGTAACGCTGGAGGCATCACATTACCTGACTTCAAAATATTCTGCAAAGCTATAGAAACTAAGCATAATACTGGCATTAAAAAGAGACATAGACTAAAGGAATAGAATAGAGAACCCAGAAATAAATCCATATATTTACAGCCAACTCACTTTCAACAAAGTTTCCAATAAGAAACAACGGGGGCTGGGCGCGGTGGCTCACGCCTATAATCCCAGCACTTTGGGAGGCCGAGGTGGGTGGATAACGAGGTCAAGAGATCAAAACCATCCTGGTCAACGTGGTGAAACCCCGTCTCTACTAAAAATACAAAAAATTAACTGGGCACGGTGGTGCGTGCCTGTAATGCCAGCTACTCAGGAGGCTGAGGCAGGAGAATTGCCTGAACCCAGGAGGTGGAGCCGAGATCACGCCATTGCACTCCGGCCTGGATAACAAGAGCGAAACTCCGTCTCAAAAACAAACAAACAAACAAAACAAACAACCAAACAAAAACAATGGGGAAAGGACAGTTTCTTTAATAAATGGTGCTGGAGAAACTGGATATCCAACACAATAAAATAAAACTAGATCTCCACTTTTCAACTTACATAAAAATTAAATCAATAGATTACAGACTGAAGTCAAGATCTCAAATTGTGAAACTGCTAACAAAAAACTTTGGGGAAATGCTTCAGGATGTTGGTCTGGGTTATGAATTTTTGTGCAAGATCTTAAAAGCATAGGCAAAGTACGCAACAAGAGACAAATAGGATTATATCAAACTAAAAAGATTCTGCAGAGCAGAGAAGACTCGGACAAAGTAAAGAGACAATCCACAAAAGGGGAGAAAATATTTATAAACTATCCATCCTATAATGAATTAATAACCAGAATATATAGAGTTTAAACAATTAAATAGCAAAAAAAAATTGATTTAAAAATGGACAAAAGATCTGAACAGACATTTCTCAAAGGAATACATACAGATGACCAACAGATATCTGAAAAAAAGTTCAACATTACTAATAATCAGAGAAACGACAATGAAAGCCACAATGAGATATCATTTCACACCAGTTAAAATGGCTTTTATCCAAAATACAGGGAACAACGAATGCTGACAAAAATGTAAATTAAAAGGAATTTTTATACATTGTTGGTGGGAGTGTAAATTAATGCAGTCAGCATGGAAAAATATATGCTGGTTTCTCAAAATATTAGACATAGAATTTCCATATAATTTAGCAGTTACACTACTGGGTATATATAGAAAATAATAGAAATCAATATATCAAAGAGATATCTACACTCTCATGTTTATTGCAGCACTATTCACAACAGCCAAAAATGGAATCAACCTAAGTGTCCATTAATGAATGAGTGGATAAAGAAAAAATATATATACAAATGAAATATTATTTAGCCATAAAAAAAATGAATCCTGTCATTTGTAGCAGCATAGACAGAACTGGAAGTCATTATGTTAACTGAAATAAGCCCAAGCACAAAAATACAAACATTGCATGTTCATATATGGGAACTAAAAAAGTGGGTCTCAAGAAGCAAGATAGTAGATTGGTGGTGACCAAAGGACAGGAAAAGTTGAGGGGCAAGCAAGGTGTAAGTGAGGGGCAAGTGAGGCTGATTAATAGATACAAACACACATTTTGATAGAAGAAATAAGACCTAGCATTTCACATATCAGCAATGTGACTAGTTTATAATAATCTGTTGTATATTTCAGAGTAGCTGGCAGAAAATATTTCAAATGTTTCTAGTATAAAGAAAAGACAAATATTTAAGATAATGAATATCACAACTACACCGATTTGATTTTTCAAATTATGTGAATATATTAAATCATCACAGGTACCCTAAAATATGTGCATCTATTATAGATCAGTAAAAGATAAAATTGAAAAGAGAACATAAAAAGCAAATAATGAAGACA